AATGCTTTTTTTAAGGGGGCCATTCCATCAGAAGGGAAACACATTTATTTGGATCATTGCTATAAAAAACTCAGAAAAATTTGTAATGAACCAAGAGCAAACTACAAAAAAAATTAGACTTTTTAAAATTGAAAATAGTATTGGAAAAAAGCTGCTAAAAAAACAATTTTGTAATTAACTTAACCAGATGAAATTTTAGACAAACATACAACTGCTTTCTCTAGGTTTTTGGCCCCCAAGTTTTTCAAATTCAAAAAAAAATTAATAATTTGAAATTGCAAAAGCCCTTTTTTAAATTTGAAAAATTTTTTGATTTATCCCCTGATGAAATTAAAAATTATAAAGGGAAAGGGTAACAGCTTTTAAGTTAAAAACCCAAAAATTCCCAAATTTCCCCCAAAAATTTTTTTAAGTCTTTTAACATTTAAAAAAATAAAAATTTGGGGGCCTTACTAAAGCAGCAAAATAAATGCAATAGTAATTATGAAAGAAAATTTATTACCAAGAAAAATGAGAAAAACTCTTAGATGATACTGGGAAAACCCTTTTTTAAAAATTAGGAAAAATCCCCCAGAAACCGTTAACAGCAATTTTTAATTAAAAAAATTTTTAAAATTCTACTGAAAAAATCATGAAGCTGGAAATGTTCATGATGTAGGTGTGTATCATGATGCAGGTTGTAAAAGTAAAGACGGAGTGCATCATGATACAGGAGTGTATCCCTGATGGGAGTGGGATCATGAACAGGAGTGGGATCATGATGTAAAGGGGTGTTTATGATGTAGGGAAATGTTTCGAAAAAAGGGGTGTTTTCATGATGTAGGATGTATCAGAACAGGAGTGTATCCAATTATGTAGGGTGTATCAAAGATGTAGGAGTGTATCTGATACAGGGTGGGATCAGATGTAGGGGTGTATCATGATACAGGAGTGATCATGATGCAGGGTGTATCATGATGTGGAATTTTATCATGATGCAGGAGTGTATCCAAAGATGCATGAGTGTATCCCTGATTAGGAGTTTTATCATGATGCTGGAGTGCATCAGGGGTTAGGAGTGTGTCGTGGGTTTCAGGGGGTTATCCCTTATGTAGGGGTGTATCATGATGTACGATGTATCATGATGTAAGTTGTAAACAGATGTTTTGGGGTGTATCATGATGTTGGGGGGTGTATCATAAAGGTTTGGGGTGTATCATGATGTAGGAGTGTATCATGATGTGGGAGTGTATCAAGATGGGGGGAGGTTTCATGATGTAGGAGTGTATCTGATGTAGGGGGTTATCATGAAATTTTGGAGTGATCATTTATGTTGGAGTGGGAACATGATGGAAAGGGGTGGGATCATATTTACGAGTGTTCATGATTTTAAGAAATGTATCAGATGTTGGAAATGTTTTCATGATGTTGGGGGTGTATCATGAGAAGGGTGTATCATGATTTTACGAGTGGATCATGTGTAAAGTGTTTTCATATGTTGGAGTGATCATGATGTTTGGGGTGTATCATGATGTAGGAGTGTATCCTGAAGTAGGGGGTGTATCATGAGGGAAGAGTGTAAAATGATGTTGGAGTGTATCAGATGTTGGAAATTATCATGATGTAGAAGTGTAAAACATGATGAGGAGTTTTTTTAGGGTGTAGGAGTGTTTTTCATGATGTGGAGTTTTTTTTGAGTAGGAGTGTTTTCATGATGTAGAAGTGTTTCATGGGTGTAGGGGTGTTTTTTGATGTAGGATGTATCAAAATCATGAGTGTTTTCATGATGTTTGGGGTGTTTTTTTGATGTAGGGGTGAAACATGATGCTGGAGTGTACATAGTAAAAGTGTATCATGGGGGGGTTTGGGGGGGGGGGGGTGTAAACATGATGTTGGGTGTATCATGATGTTGGGGTGAAAAATGATGTAGGAGGGGTTTTTTTATGATGTGGGAGTGTATTCCCTGATGGAGGGGTGTTTATGATGTAGGAGGGTTATGAATTTTGGGGGTGTTCATGATGGAAGGGGTTTTCAGATGTAGGAGTGTATCATGGGTGTTTGAAGTGTATCCTGGTGTGGAGTGTATCATGAAAGTAGGAGGTAAAACAGGGTGTAGAAGTGTATCATGATGTAGGGGTTGTTTTATGATTTTAGGAGTGTATCAAGTGCATGAGGGTATCATGATGTAGGGGTGTTTTTTTGATGTAGGAGTGTTTTCATGATGGGTGGAGTGGGATCATATGGTGGAGTGTTTATGATTTAAGGGGTTTATCATGATGTAGGGGGGTATCATGTTTTAGAAGGTTATCATGATGTAAAGGGGGTTTTTATGATGAAGGGGGTGTACAAAGGGGGGGGGGAGGTTATCAGATGAAAGGGGTTTTTTGATGTAGGAGGTTTTTATCAAGATGCAATTTAGGTATCATGATGTAGGGGTGTTTTATGTGTAGGAGTGTATCATGATTAAAGGGGTGTTTTAGTTTTTAGGGGTGTAAACATTTAAGTAGGAAGTGTTTTTTGATGTAGGGGTGTATCAAGGGCAGGAGTGTATCAAAAGTAGGGTGTTTCATGAAAGTTTGGAGTGTTTTATGAGTAGGAGGTTCAAAATGCAGGGGTGTACATGATGTAGGAGTGTATCATGATGTAGGAGTGAAACATGATGTAGGAGGTTTTTTGAAAGTAGGAGTGTACAAAAATGCAGGGGTGTTTCATGATGTAGGAGTGTTCATGATGTAGGAGTTTTTTTATGTTTTGGAGTGATCATGATGTAGGAGGGGTTTTTTTGATGTTTGGAGTGTAAAAAAAGGGTGTAGGAGTGTATCATGATGTGGAAATGTTTTTTTGATGTTTGGGGGGGGGTGTATCATGATGCAGGAGTGTATTTATCCATGTTGGAAAAAAATTTTGTGTTCCTGTAGGCGGGCGGGAAAATTTTCACTGTTCACCTATGTAAAAACTTATTTCGTCCATCCCACCACGGAATTTCTAAACCCCTGCAGGCAGTGGTGCTCTTTGTCTGTGTGGTTTTTTTATGGTTACAAAGCAGTGTCCCCCGGCTTTTTGGAAAATAGACTGGGGGTAAGTGGGCACAAACGTGTCCTGTTAAATTCCCCCTGTAGTATAGCATATTTTATATTTTTTTAGTTTGGTTTCAAAATGTTTTTAAATTTTTTCTATATTGTAGTTAAAAAAAATTTTTGGGAAAAAAAACTGTTTTTTTAAAAACATTTTAGTTTTAAAATTTCCCTAGGCCCCCCTTTTTCAGTTTTTTTTTCTGTATTATGATTTTTTGAAAACAATTCTCACATTAAAGTATTCGAGAGTTTGACGGATGTGAGACTGGGAAAACACATTCTTCATTTCTTATTTTTTGGGATGTTCGAATAGTAGTGTATAAAAGTAGGTATTTATTGGTTTTCATCATACATTAAGCTTAAAAGCCCTACCATTCGTATAGATATATATACGAATTTCAATCCATGTGTCTTATTTTCCATAATATTTAGTGATAATTACCAAATTTCAATGATGCTCTGCAGGATGTATATAAAGTATATTGACGAATGTTAAGGAAGATCCATATCTTTAAGCACCTCACCTTAACTCCTATATATGCTGTGATTAGTACTATTATAATCATGGGGAGCGCTAAACCCATAGGATTATACAGAACATTTAGATGCAGTGAAGCCCTTTATTGTACAACAAAATCTGTCATGAGTCGGTAGGCTCATGATACATTTTGTTTGTTCTAAAACTATTCGTACTACAGGGATTGTTCAAGTGAAGATGATACTATTTTACTTAGATTGCTTTGTAAGTTTTATTGAAAATTATACCAAGCATCTATTCTTAGTGTTTACTTTCTTTTGGAACAATAATCTGGTTCTGTTCCATGGTATTATATGAGAATGAAAGTTATATTGCTGCACGAGTATACACGCTTTACTGATGTTATTCATTCTTCATGCTTATTAAATAAAGGTAACACTGGTTATAAATGACCATAATTTTTAAAGGGGTGGACCGGTAAGCAGCGGAAGGCCTCGGTCAGATGACCAAAAGCTCCAAAGGCAGGTCATCATCTGACTAAGACCCGCGTCAGGAAACATTTGTCCTGTTTCTGACGAACCTTACCTAACCTAACCTTCATGCTTATTTGTGTTTCTGTAGAGGAATAGGCAGGCTGTTAACCGTTTTATCGATGCAGACTAGGTCGCATCCTCAGCAAGAAATATTGTAAACCTCCGTACCTTTGAGGTCCTCGTAAAGTTTCGTATGGTCTTAGTTGTGACCACTGCGACGTTTATGTTGGATTTCTGTAGCAGGAAAAAAATGTGTTGCCTGTGACCCCTGTCGGGTACATGTGTCTCTTAATGGTGTTGTTCTGGTTCCCGGCGATGTGGTGTATCATGTCACATTTCCGCTTGCAATGGAGGATTGTGTTTTGAGAAAATCTGAGGTTGAAGAATCATTTCTCTGTATAATTTCGGTCATCATTCAGGAATTAGTCGTTGCTGACTCTTGAGTGCCCGTAGAAAAAAAAATCCGATTACGACTCCTTTCTTAGCCCTCAGATCACAAAGCCCATCAGTGGATAAACGTCCTAGTAAAGGGCTCGACTGCAACCAGTGTCTTTCATTTGCCACTTTGGTTAGAAAAAATTTAGGTGTTCCTTCTTTAGTTTCTAACTAAACTAACTTACCAACCTAATTAAATATTGTTAAAATTTACATAATATAGCCTAATCCTATCAAACCGTTCTAAACCAATCTTTAGCTTTAAAAAGGGAGCGTGATAAAAAGGGGTTTTGAGTAGCAGTTAAGATCAAGAAAAAATTATTGTGAGGTGAGTAAAAATTTGTTAATGGTGATCCAGACAATGCAACAACAGTGAAAATCGTTCCATAGCTTGATGTGTCTAATGATTCAGTCACTAAAGCAATAATGATAGACACCTCATAGCTTGACGTTGCTAGTAGTAGTCACTGAAACATAAAAAAGGGTTTCACCCGAAAGCAATAATAATGGTCATCTCATAGCTTGACGTTGCTAGTAATAGTCACTGAAGCAATAATGATGGTCATCTCATAGCTTGACGTTACCAGTAATACAGTCACTGAAGCAATAATGTTGGACATCTAATAGCTTGACGTTGCTAGTAATAGTCACTGAAGCAATAATAATGGTCATCTCATAGCTTAATGTTGCTAGTAATAGTCACTGAAGCAATAATAATGGTCATCTCATAGCTTAATGTTGCTAGTAATAGTCACTGAAGCAATAATAATGGTCATCTCATAGCTTGACGTTGCTAGTAATACAGTCACTGAAGCAATAATGTTGGGCATCTAATAGCTTGACGTTGCTAGTAATATAGTCACTGAAGCAATAATGATGGTCATCTTATAGCTTGACGTTGGTAGTAATACAGTCACTGAAGCAATAATGTTGGTCATCTCATAGCTTGACGTTGCTAGTAATACAGTCACTGAAGCAATAATGATGGTCATCTAATAGCTTGACGTTGCTAGTAATACAGTCACTGAAGCAATAATGATGGTCATCTCATAGCTTGACGTTGCTAGTAATAGTCACTGAAGCAATAATGTTGGTCATCTCATAGCTTGACGTTTCCAGTAATCCAGTCGACGCAGGTAGAGAAGTGCGCCACGCTCAGGTCTGCGGAGAAAGTATTTATATATACAATTTGCTGGATGAGCGGTTTCATAGTTAGTGACTTGCGTCAGCCAGAGAATATACAAGAGAACAGTATTTGCTATAAACTCTCCGTAACATAGAACAGTCTTGTACCAGTGAAATGTAATGGAGTATACTACACCTATTTACACACAACTACTCTGCAAAAGAACGGATGCATGCATTTTTTTACATTAACATTGGAAGATTAATAAAAAACTTTTATCTTTTTTTTCTTTTGCAAGCTAATAGTTGTGTAATACATCAGTTCATTTTGAAGCTTCACCTGAATAAAATATCCAAATTAGTACATTCGATTACTACTGGAGGAACAAGGTCGAACAGGGCAGAGAAACTTAGTCTGGTGTTCAGTGCCCCACGTCACATTCTCCGCACGCTCTAAATACAATTTGCCCAATAACTGTAATAATCCAACCAAAGTTTATGTATTAGTCTTTCATTTCGAAAAGACTGCCCCAAAAGTACCTTATTCCCTTACCTTCTTGTTCACTTCATCTTAGCCCTCCTTTACTTTTACCTGATATATGTAACCTCATTAATACTAATCCAGCTAACCACGTTTCCTCTGAAAGTCTTCATAGATATTATCATTCTCACACCCCCAGAGCACGTCAAATATAAAAAAAAAAGTCACTTGTCTACATAGCTCTGATCAAACATGCTCATTCATGCTGTTTAAATGTTCTAGCTCCTACTTCTCCAGGTCTTCTTAACATCATTATTCCATTTCTTCCTTAGACGTCCCCTACAGTTCCTCCCAATCATTCCAGAATTATACACCTTAATCCACCTACATTGCTCCAGTCATTATGATGAAGCCATCTCAACACTCCTCGTCTACCCATTGAATGATATCGTTCATACTATCACACCATCTTCTAATTACTTTAAGCCTCATTCTCTGCAAAATATTCACATGATACATTGACATCGGACATGAAACTTCCAGAACCTTAAACCTCGCCCTCTCACCAACATCCATAGATTATAACTTGCACCTATAAAAAATTCTGACACACCTATTTTTTCCTCTGTTAACAAGCTTCTTTCTTTGCCACATCTATTCTGTGATTAACATCACCCATCGGCCTACTCATCCATTTCCAAATATTTAAATACATTAACTTTCTTCACACTATTTGCTTGCACTCTGACATCCAACGTTTCATTTCCTAGCATTCTTTTTACTCTCTTTACTATGCTCTTTTCTGTGTTCTTTTTACACTTGTCTGAATCTTCCAAAAAACATTGTTTCATCAGCAGAGTGCAAAAGACTAACTCTAACAATATATTAGGTTCATTTCACATCTTATTTATCAAGCTCAAATATTCACTTATTTTGCTACCTATAAATACGGGACAAAAACATTACACATTTGTGTTAGGCAGCGGTGAACAAAATACGACCCACAGCCGTTAACAGTCTGCCAAGGAATTCTATCCGACCCGCTAGTGTCTAGGAATTTAGTAAAAAAATATTGTATCTCTAATTTAAAAACGAATTCATTTTGATACGATTATTTCAGAGTAAACAGTGGGCAGTCATAACAGCAAGACCTGGTGTCAGGAGAAATGAGTTTTCTTTGTTTCCCTTTCTGTTACCCAAGAAACTATATCTTTTTTTCATAGTGTTTTTGTTTACTTCTAAGCCAAGAGGTATGTCACTTCACATACAACAAAGATATATAAGCCGAGAGGTATGTCTCTCAGTGTACATACAGTGGCCCGGTGGCTTGGCTAACGCTCTCGCTTCACACACAGAGGGCCCGGGTTTGATTCCCGGCGGGTGGAAACATTTCGACGCGTTTCCTTACACCTGTTGTCCTGTTCACCTAGCAGCAAATAGGTACCTGGGTGTACTTCGCATCCTGGACAAGATTGGAAATAAGTTAGACAGTCCTCGATGACACACTGACTTTCTTGGGTTATCCTGGGTGGCTCCAGGGTTAAAAATTCGAACAAAATCTTATCTTATCTTACAGTGTTTACCCAAATGACTGGTGGCGAGCAGGTTAGATGCAGCCTGAATGACCCTAATGTAGTCGATATCTTATTAAATCTCATTAACCAACTAGCCTTCGTCTACTGTCTTACTTGGCAAGTGTAAGTATCTTGTCTTATTTTAACTTGTCCTGTTGGAAATAAATGGTATCAAATACCGACACAGTGGAAATATAAACACATATGCAGTATAATGTGATCCTTTATTGACAACGTTTCACCCACTTGAAAAAGCCCACTGTGTGGGTGAAACGTTGTCAATAAAGGATCACATTATACTGCATATGTGTTTATATTTCCAACTTGTCCTGTTATTTGGCTACTTATAAGTTAACATGATATTTTCTCAGGGTGACTTCACTTTGACCGTAAAGCGAAGATTAATTATTTTTGTTTCACCCTTTTCTTGTGGCCTGAAATGCACATTGAATTATGCTCATGTGTGACGTCTAGCTTCTTGTTTCCCTTCTTCTGCAGCCACTTTCTTGTCGACCTTGTTAAACATCTGCAATTTTAGACACACACACACACCCACACACCGGGGCCAGGAGCTGTGAATCGACCCCTGCAACCACAACTAGGTGAGTACACATGAGATTTAAAGAAGTATTTACAGTGGAGATAGAGAGGACTCCAGAAAGCCGAAGTGGTGGGGTACACCAACAACTGCTGGACACAATACACACAATGGAGGAGGAGGAGGAGGTGAAGAGGCTGCTATGAGAACTAGATACCTCTAAGGCGAAAGGACCGGACAACATCTCTCCGTGGGTCCTGAGAGAGGGAGCAGAGGCGCTGTGTGCCACTAACAAGAATTTTTCAGCACATCTATCGAAACAGGGCGCCTACCTGAGGTGTGGAAAACAATAAATGTAGTCCCATTAAACTATAGACCAGTGTCCCTGACATGTATAGTATGCAAGGTTATGGAGAAGATTATCAGGAGAAGAGTGATGGAGCGCCTAGAAAAAAATGAGCTTATTCACGACAACCAACACGGTTTCAGGGAAGGGAAATACTGTGTCACAAATCTATTGGAGTTTTACGACAAGATGACGGCAGTAAGAAAAGAGAGAGAGAAAGAGAGATAGAGATAGAGAGAGAGAGAGAGAGAGAGAGAGAGAGAGGAGAGAGAGAGTGAGAGAAGAGAAGCGAGATGATGAAGTAGAGAGTGAGAGGTGGGTTACGCAATCAGTTGGAATGCAAGAAGGCTTCGAATAGTCTGACAAGTAGAGGATAGTGAAAAGCAGAGTGATAGGCAGGTGTACAAGGAAAGGCACTGCTATGGATCAGAGAATACATGACAGGAAGGCAACAACGAATCATGGGGCACGTCGAGGTGTCAGAGTGGGCGCCTGTGACAAGCAGAGTTCCACAGGGGTCAGTCCGGGGACCGGTGCTGTTTCTGACAAACCTAAGAATAGCGTTCCGACACCTCAGTAGGGAATCCTTCAAGACTCTGTACACCGTGTACGTCAGACCTATATTGAAGCATGCAGCACCAATTTGGAACCCACACCTGGTCAAACGTGTCAAGAAATTAGAAAGAGTGTGCAAAGGCTTGCAACAAGACTAGTCCCGGAGCTAAGGGGCATGCCTTACGAGGAGAGGTTAAGGGAAATCGACCTGACGAAACTGGAGGACAGGAAGGATAGGGGGGACATGATAACAACATATGAGATACTGTTCTTACTTGGGTCTCTACATTTCTTCCAACAGAGGAGCGAGGATGGATTAGTGTAGGTGATGTAGTCTGTGCCACACACGGGGGTGTATTGCCTAGCCACGGCACACCTGGCCAGGCACTCATCGCCCTGGTAGATCTGCATGGCCCTCCCCAACATCGTCACACCTCGCATCAAAGAAACATTAATGGTAAGTAAATTTAAATAAATGTTCTTATCTTCCTTTGCTTTAGATTAGAGAATAAACGAAGCAATAAGACAATCATTTATGTTAACTGAATTCAGAAGGAGATTAGTGTTCAATATTCATCAATTGCAAAATAACTGAATTGGTAAGTAGGTAATCAAACATAATTGCAAATTTTGTGTACAGTATACCACACAAGAATTTTGTTTTGTCTATATAAAAACAAAAGTGACACTACTCTGATAACGAGGTTTTTAAGTAGCAATTTATTTTACATAATTTTTAGTTACAGAATTTTCACTACAAGTTTGTTAGTTACCAGTACTGACTTCTCTACTTGTATTATGTAGGGTAACACGCAAGATTTACTACTCATCTTTGTACTTAGTATAAATTAACGAGGTCTTCCAGAATGGCCTAGCAAAACTTCCGGCAACAATGTAGAACCTAAGATGATATAAAACGTTAATAACTTAATCAAAATGGACCCAAATCATTGGTAAAAGACGACTACCCCATCCAACCACTGCATCAAAATCCAGTTATCAGACGAGCTGTACCATAACTTAGAGCAACCCAATATAAATGACACTACCCTCATGACTACAGTCAACTGTCCCTTGGACAAAGGAGGATGTAGGAGAACCAGCACCAAATATAATCATAGGATGCACATAAACATATTTGAGGACAACTTCTCTCGACTTTCTTTACTCACGGCTCTGGGCTGAGTGACTGACACCTCTCACCGTCTCCTCTGTGAAACAACTGGGTATCTTTGTTTAAGAGATGTTTCGTCCATCAAGGGCCTTATCAATCTAATACAGAGGCATGAAGAGGGAGACTTATATATGGGAACCAAAGAGATGGTAGCAGTAGTGGTCACATAGGCATGGGCGAAACGTCTCTCGAATACATTCTCAGATGTTGCACCTCTTTACCACTCTACAATGATGCACTACTACTACTTCGACCACTACTTTTATTTCCTCTTCCACTACTACTACTGCTACTTCTGTTGTTGTTGTTGTTGTTATTATTAGTAGTATTGTTGCTGCTGTTGCTGTTGATAATAGATAGTTACTGCTGTTACAGCAGTAACTATCTATTATCCTGTGGTTTTGGGAGATCTGGGAAGCTAGGCCTCGGGGCTGCAATTGGACAGATTAAGTGGAGAATTTGAAAGATGCTGAAGAGTCCCTTGACCTTAAATAAAGCGCTCAGCTTTTAGCCTGGATCAGAACACAAGTTGCCATTTAAATTGGTCCTTTCAAGCTTGAGTCAGATTCAGGGAACAGAGATTAGAATCCTCAAAAAAGTTGACTTTTGAACCAATTTAGAAGCCCAAAAAATTCCCCTACAGTGGTAAAATTAAAACCCTTTAAGAAAAGGGACGCCAAAAGCTGAAAAAGTATGCACAGCATTTAAAAGCGAAAGACAGAACTAATTTAGATCAGTTGATGAAAAGAAACGCGTTAAAGAGTGGGTTTAATTAGAAAATAGGTGAAATCACATTTGTATATGCAGGGTGTACAGTACTTACCGAATCCCAAATTTAACACCACACCACACACACAAAACCCCAAAAAAGCGGGGTTCCACGGGGGTCAGCCTGGGGCCCCTGTGCTGTTTTTGGTATAGGGAACGCAAAGGAAGGGTGTCAGAAGTGTCCTTGTTTGCAGATGAGCGAAATTTAAAAGAGAAAAATAAAAATGGAGAGGATCAGGCAGGATCAAAGAGACCTGGAAGGCTCAAGCCTGGCCCCAGAAAACGGGTCCTTGAATTTAACCCCTACCAAAATGCAAAGTCATGAAGATTGGGGAAGGAAAAGAAGCCCGCAGGCAAAATATATTTTTAAAAGGGCCAAAGACGCAAACCTCACTAAGGGAAAAAAAGACCGGGGGTGGTAAAAACACCGGCAATCTCCTAGGCGCACATCATTAGTAACTGCTGCAGCATACGGGGCCTGGAAAACCCTACGGATAGCGTTCCGATACCTCAGTAGGTTCTTTTAAGACTCTGTATCCATTTACGTCGGCCCATACGGGAGTATGCCCCATTTGGAACCACACCTAGAAAAAACGTCAAGAAATTAGAGAAAGTGCAAAGGTTTGCAACAAGGGGCTGTCCCCGGCTCGGGGATTGTCCCCGAAGAAAGGGTTTAGGAAATCGGGCCCGAGACCTGGAGGACAGGGGGTAGGGGAGACTGATAAACGACATATAAAATATGCGCGGAATAGCAAAGGGGGGACAAAAAACGGGGGTTCCAGAGAAGAGACACAGACACAAGAGGTCACAATTTGGGGTTGAAAACTAGAAAATCAAAAGGGGTGTTAGGAAGTATTTCTTCACATAGAGTAGTCAGCCGTGGAATAGCCTAGAAATGACGTATGGAGGCGGGAACCATACATAGTTTTAGGCGAGGTTGATAGAGTCATGGGGCAGGGAGGAGAGGACCTAATAGCAATAGCGAAGAGGCGGGCCAGGAGCTTGACTCGACTCCCGCAAAACAAATAGGTAAATACAAATGGGGAAAATACACACCACACACACAACACACACGTGAAACAGTACGCAAATGTGCTCCAAAGGGTTTTCGTTCTAGTGGGTGTCCTAAATATTTTTAGCGGTCTCGTACGTGAGTGAAACAGTGAAAAATACCTACAAAAGTTAGCTTTCAAGAGTGCGAATAATTTATAGGATCAAGAATTTTCATTAAAATTTTAATGAAATTTGAGTGAGGGAGGGTTTGCAGTCGTGATGAGGGTACTGGCCCCGTGTTTGCAAATATCCAAAAGTTAATTGGGGGGTTAACGGTGTATCTGAAATATTAACAAAATTTCATATGTTGGGTTGATTATAACAGCGTGTGTGATAAAGGGCTTAAAAGAGTGAATTTAAGTAAATACGAAAGTAGAAAAATTAGTCAATCCCCCCTGTTTGGGGTTGTGAAGGAAGCTAACTCCAGATTGTTATGACCATAATACTGTATAAAGAAAAAAAGAGGGAATACCAAATCTTAAAAGAAAAAGAAAAATAAAAACTTGAATGCATATAAAGTTCCTGAAGGGGTTTGAAAATTGAAGGAGTTTATAGACGACCAGCAGGAACCCCCATTGTTGTGCAGACGACATCACTTGCCTATTTGTGGTTAATTTTGGTTAGTGTCTAAAGTCTCAGTGTCTCCCCCTGCTGGTTGTAGGGTTTAATACCATCTCTCTCTCCCTATTTCAGTACCAGGAGATAGATAGTGGTTAGTAAATTATCTAAATATCGCCAGGTAAACTCCAGAAGAGTTGTGTAGCCTAGTGACCCCCCCCCCCCGTTTTTCTGGGGGACAAGCTAGTAAACAAGTACGCACATACAAACACACGTGTGCCCCCGTAATTATTTTTATAATAAACAGTATATATTAAAAAGGGAAATTTGAGTGAGAAAAAATAATCCTATAATCTTCAAAAAGTAAAGTAGCGTAGTGTGCGGAGATCTGGGCCGGGAGAGTACCGGTGAAACAACAACAATAACAAATAGTACACAAATAACCCGCACATAAAAGACAGAAGCTTACGACGACGTTTCGGTCCGACTTGGACCATTGACAAAGTCAAACTTTGTGACTTTGTCAGTGGTCCAAGTCGGACCGAAACGTCGTCGTAAGCTTCTGTCTTTTATGTGCGGGTTATTTGTGTATCGTTCCAGTCACGGTATTGTGCCTTTTTGTTATTTATTTATTTATAACAAATAGTGTTAACGTAACCCCCCCCCCCCCCTCTTTTTCAAAGAACGACAAGCTAGTAAACACACACACACACAAACACAAGTGTACGCAATTAATATTATATAGTATATATTAGTGCATATTAATAAGGAATTGATTGGGAAAATTTTTTTATAATCTTCAAAAGAGTAGCGTAGCCTAGTGTGCACACGCACACCCACACACCCACACACACCCACACCCCCACACACCCACACACCACCACCCCACACCCACACACACCACCCCAACACCCACCACCCACACCCCCACACACACCCACACACCCACACACACCCACACACACCCAACACCCACACACCCACACACACTCACACCACCCACACACACCACAACACCCACCACACACCCCCCCAACACCACCCACACACCCCCACAACACCCACCCACACACCCACCCACACACCCACCCACACACCCACACCACCCACCCACACACCCACCCAACCCCCCCCCACAACCCCCCCACACACCCCCACCCACAACACCCCCCCCCACCCCACACACACCCCACCCACCCACACCCACCACCACCCCCACACACCCCACCACCCCCCCCCACCCCCACCCCCACCCTCCCCACACACACGCAACACACACAACACACACACACATATTGCCAGACTCACACATACACTCCCCCCTCCCCCCCCGACATCTCACTCCTTCACCTGATCCCTCCTTCCCTCTTTCACCCTCCCCTCCCCACCTCTCCCTCACCCACTTACCCACTTGCTTCCCTCTCCTTCCCACTCCCCCTCCCCACTACTCTCCATATAGCCACAGTTCCTCCTCTACCCCCCCCCACACTCTGACATATACAATACTAACCTACATACAGAATTACATAGGTTTCCCACTCTGAGGCAATCAGGATAAAACAAAAATGGGTTGCCAGAGAGCAACAAGAAACCCAAGGGACAGGAGGAGGAAACTGCAAAGGAAGTTTTGGGCAGCAGAGCTCACAAAAAGGGAACAAGAATGGGAAAAGAAACTGGGAAGAATTTAGCATGAGAATGGAAGAGAGGAAAGACATGGAAAGCAGGAAGTAGGAGGTGAAGTCAAAGCAGCAGAGGCCAGGATACAGAGTTTAGAAGAGGAACTGGAAAATCTGAAACAGCCTAAAGAACTAAAGAACATTATGGGATTGACAACAGAGACCGCTACCTCAGCCACAAAAAAAGGGGACTGTAGGGAAAGGAGGAGCAAAATGCATGTAGAAGCTCTATCAGTGGAGACTGTAGTAATGAAAGAGCTAAGCTATATGTGGAGGCCCTAAAAGACCACAACAGAGCCCAGGGAAAGCCGAGATGGGAAAATGACAGGCCACTGAGCCCATGTACAGTAGCTAGTGAAACTAAAAGAAAGGAAAGCTGCAATGGGGAAATCAATTGAATGAGGGGTTTACACAGGGATATCCCAGTGGGAGAAATGAAAGGGTGAGGTCAGTCTTTGTGTATGGCTACAGGAAGTTGGGGGGGAAAAACATATGAAGCAAGAAAACAAGGGGAAAAAAAGAAATTGAAAGCATCATGAAAGTAATGGGAGAGAAGACATGACCAGCGGGAAAAATTTTTTCGGAGAATGGGGGGGTTTGTAAAAAAAAGAAAACCGGCCAGTGAAAGTGACCTTCAAGGCAGAAATCGACTCGGAACAGGATACTGCAGGGAAAAAGCACGATTAAGGGACATGCCGGGATACAGGAAGGTGTATTCTCGACCGCGACAGAACACAAAACGAAAGGCGGAAACTGAGAGAGTGGTACAAAGGCGAAAGGAGGAAAGAGAGGGGATGGAGAAGACAGACAGGGAATCCCAGACACAGGAAGAAGATCAAATACAACCTCCCTCACAGCTTCCTATAGAAGCCTCCCAACCAGGTCAACCCCAGTGCAGCAAAACACTCTAAACCACAACACCTATGCCATATCCAATTTCCCCCACCCACTACATTACAAACCCACCCCCACAGCAACCACCCATACTTCCTTATCAGGTTCCCACTTCCCAACCCCAATACACCTCCCAGACCACAGTCTTAGAAAAGAAGTTGAAGGTATGGTATACAAATGCAGATGGAATAACAAATAGTATGAGGAGTGGCACGAAAGAATCAAGGGGGAAAATCCCCAGACATAATAGCACTCACAGAAACAAAACCACCAGAATAATAACAGATTCAATCTTTCCACCCGGATATCAAATTTTTCAGGAAAGACAGAGGGAGGAGAGGGGGAGGAGGAGTTGCACTGCTCATTAAAGCCAGTGGGGTTTTGGAAGAAAAAGGAAGGAATGGATGGCACGGGTGAAAGGGACTACTTAGTAGGAAAAAATCCAGTCTGAGGGACATAAGGTGATAATTGCCCGTAATGTACAACCCACCACAGAACTGCAGGAGACCAAGAAAGAATACGATGAGAGCAACAGAGCCATGGTCCGACACACTAGCCGAGGTGGCCAGGAGAGCACACGTGGGGGGAGCAAAGTTACTAGTTATGGGTGATTTCAATCACAAGGAGATGACTGGGAAAACCCGGACCCCCATGGGGGTTCCGAAACATGGAGAGCCAAGATGATGGATGTAGTATGGAAAACCTCATGCATCAACATGTTAGAGACACTACCAGAGAGAGAGGAGAAGATGAACCAGCAAGACGGACCTTTTATTCACCTTGAGTAGTTCAGCATCGAGGATATCTTGTATGAAAGGCCCCTGGGAGCTAGTGATCATGTGGTTCTGTGCTTCGACTACATAGTTGAGCTCCAAGTGGAGAGAGCAGGAATAGGATGGGAAAAACCAAACTACAAAAGGGGGAATACTCGGCATGAGGAACTTCCTTCAAAACATTCAGTGGGAGAGGGAACTGACAGGAAAACCAGTACAAGAAATGATGGACTATGTGGCAACAAAATGCAAAGGGGGCAGAGGAGAGGTTTTTTTCCCAAGGGAAACAGGAATAATGGGAAGAACAGAACGAGTCCCCTTGGTTCACCAAAGGTGTAGGGAGGGCAAAAAACTAGGTGTACTAGAGAATGGAAAAAAGGGACAGAAGACAGAGAACTCAGGAAAATAAAGAGATTAGCCGAAGAGCCAGAAATGAAAATGCACAGATAAGAAGGGAGGCTCAGCGACAATATGGGAAAAAGACATAGCATCGAAAGTCAAGACTGACCCGAAGCTGTTGTACAGCCACATCAGGAGGAAAACAACAGTCAAGGACCCGGGAATCAGACTGAGGAAAGGGGGATGGGGAATTCACAAGCAACGACCGAGAGGTATGTCAGGAGCTCAACAGGAAATTTTAAAAAAGTATTACAGTGGAAAACAGTAGGACTCCAGGAAAAACAGAACAGGGGGGTACACCAGCAAGTGCTGGATGAGGTACATATAACCAAGGAGGAAGTGAAGAAGCTGCTATGCAAACTTGACACCTCAAAGGCGGTGGGACCAGACAACATCTCTCCGTGGGTCCTTAAAGAGGGAAACAGAGATATTGTGTGTGCCATTAACAAAGATCTTTAACACATCATTTGAAACTGGGCAACTCCCTGAGGTATGGAAGATGGCAAATGTAGTCCCAATTTTTAAAAGGGGGACAGACATGAGGCACTAAACTAAGACCTGTATCACTAACGTGTATAGTATGCAAGGTCATGGAGAAGATCATCAGGAGGAGTTTGGTGGAGCACCGGAAAGAAACAAGTGTAAATTGACAACCAGCATGGTTTCAGGGAAGGAAAATCCTGTGTCACAAACCTACTAGAGTTTTATGGGCAAAGGGGACAGAAGTAAGACAAGAGAGAGAGGGGTGGATCGACTGCATTTTTTTTGGACTGCAAAAAAGGGCCTTCGACACAGTTCCTCATAAGAGGTTACTGAAAAAGCTAGAAGATCAGGCACACATAACAGGAAGCACTGCAATGGATCAGAGAATACCTGACAGGGAGGCAACAACGAGTCATGGTACGTGACGAGGTGTCAGAGTGGGCGCTTGTGACAAGCGGGGTTCCACAGGGGTCAGTCCTAGGACCTGTGCTGTTCTTGGTATATGTGAACGACATAACGGAAGGGATAGACTCAGAAGTGTCCCTTTTTTGCAGATGATGTGAAGTTAATGAGAAGAATCAAATCGGGGATGGGATTTAGGCAGGACTAACAAGAGACCTGGACAGGCTGCAAGCCTGGTCCAGCAACTGGCTCCTTGAGTTTAACCCTGCCAAAAAGCAAAGTCATGAAGATTGGGGAAGGGCAAAGAAGACCGCGGACACAATTAGTTTAAAATGGCCAAAAACTGCAAACCTCACTCAAGGAAAAAGATCTGGGGGGGAGTATAACACCGAGCATATCTCCTGAGGCGCACATAAATCAGATAACGCTGCAGCATACGGGCGCCTGGCCAAAACCTACGGATAGCGTTCCGATACCTCAGTAAGGAGTCGTTCAAGACCCCGTTATACCATTTACGTCAGGCCCTACTGGAGTATGCAGCACCCGTTTGGAATCCACAAACCCAGTCAAGCACATCAAGAAATTAGAGAAAGTGCAAAGGTTTGCAACAAGACTAGTCCCAGAGCTACGGGGATTGTCCTACGAAGAAAGGTTGAGGGAAATCGGCCTGACGACACTGGAGGCCAGGAGGGTCAGGGGAGACATGATAACGACATATAAAATACTGCGCGTAATAGACAGGTGGACAAAGACAGGATGTTCCAGAGATGGGACACAGACACAAGAGGTCACAATTGGAAGTTGAAGACTCAGATGAATCGAAGGGATGTTAGGAAGTATTTCTTCAGTCATAGAGTAGTCAAGTCATGGAATAGTCTAGAAAGTGAAGTAGTGGAGGCGGGAACCATACATAGTTTTAAGGCGAGGTATGATGAAGCTCATGTAGCAGGGAGAGAGAGGACCTAGTAGCAATCAGTGAAGAGGCGGGGCCAGGAGCTATGACTCGACCCCTGCAACCACAAATAGGTGAGTACAAATAGGTGAGTACACAAACGCACACACACTAACACACACACACACATACACACACACACACATACACACACAACACATACACACACACACACACACACACACACACACACACACACACACACACACACACACACACACACACACACACACACACACACACACACATTACCAGTAATACCAATTATAATGAGGAGGCAGGTGAGAAGGGTGGAGGTGGTATCCATGATACTCCAGCAAGACTCAGGAGCACAACTGAAAAGTGAAGCTTCAGGTGGAACTTGAGTTCGTCGATGTACAAGAGACTTGGCGATAATGAGATGTAGGCTATACTGCAGAGGCGTCTTCAGTGTTGTTCTCTCTGTAACTGATAAATACATTAGCATTTTTTATTCTTAGTTTTGATTATTTTATTGTATATTATCAGGTGTCCCAACCTGTGGGTCATCGACGCCGTTATGAGCCACCTGCCACAGGTGATGTGCAACCTGCCCAGGTATGCCTGAGTGTCAGACACTGTCAACATATGACCACACACATTAAATGAATATTGTATATAGATAAAGGGAATATATATATATATATATATATATATATATATATATATATATATATATTATATATATATATATATATATATATATACTGTCTATATAATACAAATGCATCTCTTTAACAAATAGATATGCGTTTGAATTAAAATTTATTATTTATTTATTATTATTATTATAATTATTATTATTGTTGTTATCGGTGTTATTGTAGTTTTTCTTGAAGTCCTTCAACAGGGGCACCTTGATAATGGTGAAAGACTCGGACCTGGACCTGCCTTCCCTTTCTTAGATCAAGCTGGATTACGTCCTGTTCCCTATGGCCCTAGGCGACGTATGACCTACCCCCAAAGTGTTTAATCCTTCTCCATGACTAATAAAAAGGTTATTTGAAGGCGTCCTATTTAATCCTTCTCCATGACTAATAAAAAGGTTATTTGAAGGCGTCCTATTTGTGAAGTGTTATGTCACAACTAAGCACATGATTCAGTGAGTCTCATCACAAATATAAGATCGAGCTCGGTGCAGAAAGTCTCAAGAAAATCCTAAATGACAAATCCAGTGCCGCACTATAGGTGCTAGAAGTTTTTTTTCATGCGTTGAGTTTACAGGCTAAGAGCTGTTTTCTTGCCTCAGCTTATTTCAGAGCCCTACAGCATCTAAGGAATACTAACACCTCCCAGGATGCATCCCACAACAGTCAATAAACACCTAGCTTCCTATTTACTGCTAGGTGAACAGAGGCATTATGCATAAGGAGACTTGCCAGGTTACCTTCGTCATGCGGCACTCCGCCCAGTGTCAAAAGATTCCGTTACTTCTCTAGGTAGAGAACACTCATTTTCCAACAGGATGAAGACGGTGAAACAGTAATTATTGTCAACGCATGACCTAAGCAATTACAGTCCCTCTATAAAGAGTTGAATAACGTCATAAATATATAATTATTAAAAACATTTAGAGGTAAAATATAAATAGTCTGAAGCAGTTTGGAAGTCGAGGCTAAGTTGTAGGATGTACAAGTTGCTGTTACATTGACGAAACATCCTGCATGTACTTCACTCATGTATCACGACTTCCAAGACCCAAATCCTGCTAACCGGTTTCCCTGATTCCCTTCACAAAATATTGCACATTCATTATGGGTACAACAGGGTATGATGTCAACTGTCCCATCTCCAACACTGTACTATATAACAATTTTAAAAGTTATCGTTTGTCACGCGTCGGGAGTTATCAGATGGTATTTTGCAGGTAATTTACATGTATTTTTCCGCCTTCCGCACCACAGCAGTTATACCTTGTAATGTTACTTATACACACCTGTTATTACGTATTAATTCAACACATCACAGTTATCCCACCTTCACATCACAGTTATCACTCGTTATCCTATTTTTGTACTACAATTATTACTTGCTATCTTATCTCTACACCACAGTAAACACTTTATATCCTAATTCCACACCACAGTTATCATTTCTATCCTATTTCTACACCAGTTATCACTTGCTATTCTGTTTCTACACCACAATTATCACTTGCTATCTATTTCCACACAACAGTTACCACTTGCTTGTAGTCTCTACATAAGAAGATCATAGTTATCACTTGTTATCTCACCTCTACACAATTATACGCAACCAGTTATCACTTGTTATTCCACATCTACTTCACGGTCATTACTAATTACACCGCCAGTTATCACTTATCCCGCCACACCATGTTTATCACATGCTACCCCACCTTCACACTGTAGTTATCACGTTATCCTACCTTCACACTGTAGTTATCACGTTATCTTACCTTCACACTGTAGTTATCACTTTATCCTACCTTCACATTGCAGTTATCACGTTATCCTACCTTCACACTGTAGTTATCACGTTAATCTACCTTCACACTGTAGTTATCACTTTATCCTACCTTCACACTGTAATTATCACGTTATCCTACCTTCACACTGCAGCTATCACGTTATCTTACCTTTATACTGCAGTTATCACGTTATCCTACCTTCACACTGTAGTTATCACGTTATCCTACCTTCACACTGTAGTTATCACGTTATCCTACCTTCACACTGTAGTTATCACTTTATCCTACCTTCACACTGTAGTTATCACGTTATCCTACCTTCACACTGCAGTTATCACGTTATCTTACCTTCACACTGCAGTTATCACGTTATCTTACCTTCACACTGCAGTTATCACGTGTTATCCCCTCCTTCTTTTACACGTTATATCATCGAAGTTTCCTAGTAATAGCATTGTTCTTCCATAACATTGATGTTATCATCACTTCACAGTCAGCCACAGCAACGTTCATAGGCCCTGCAGGGACAACATTAAAGATGCTGTTTTTCCTGTTGGGTACAGCCAGCTAGTTCAATAACCCGACAGGGGCACCCTAAGTTTTGCTCTCGTTCCTGTTTTCCATACTGCCCAGCTGCTGGAGGCAGCATAGGTTCTGCTGTTCATGTGCCACACACTTTGACACAGAAACGTTCAGCTGGGCTGGGACAGCATAAGTTATGCTGCTGTTTCAGCGCTGGTGTCGCGAGGAGTGACTGGAGGGCAACAACAACGGACTCTCAGGCCGCGACAAATGGGTTGTGTCCGGCTAGAGGGCCCCTCACCTCCCTCCCCGCCCGTCAACGGCAGTGAATTTTTTCTGACGAAAGACTCTTGATCTAAAGAGTTGGACCTGCTCTTCCCTTCATCAGATCGATCCTGATTGGGTCTCATTCCTCTGGCGCTGTATAACCCCAAACGATTCCTCACGAATGTTAAGAAATTCTCCTCCCTCCCCTTCCTTCCCCCGGCACCTCAGAAGTTGAACGGAATCACGGAGC